TTTCTTTCTTTCTTTCTTTCTTTCTTTCTTTCTTTCTTTCTTTCTTTCTTTCTTTCTTTCTTTCTTTCTTTCTTTCTTTCTTTCTGTGTCCATGCACGTGCCTGCGAGTTAGTTTTTGACTCCAGGCGACTGCCTGAACAAGTCCCTACAGTTTTCTTGGCAAGATTTCGGAAGTGGCTTGCCATTGCCTGCTTCCTAGGGCTGGGAGAGAATGGCTGGCCCAAGGTCACCCAGCTGGCTTTGAGCCTAAGGCAGGACTAGAATTCACAGTCTCCTAGCTTCTAGCCTAATGCCTTAACCACTATGCCAAACTGGTTTTTGAATTTCTTCCTAAGCTATTTTAAATATGACCTAAAGCAGAACTATTTGGCAAAAGTTGGGGGAGACAAAAGGGAAACCAAAGCAAGAGTGTTGCAAGTTTATAGTAATTAAATTACATGTTTTCGTTGCTGACATACTTCTAATGTTTACATATCATACTTCTGATTTTTCTATATATTCCCCAGAAATGGAACCAGAAAAACAATCATTGGGGACTAAAATTCCCACCTGTCTTGATGTTGTCACTATTAAAAGCTCCCTGCTTTTATGCATTGTTTTTCTTTTCTTTGAGAATGTATGTACTTACATTTTAATTATCTTTGTGTTTTGTTCCTTTTTATTATTTTAAAAGTAATAAAATAATTTTTTTTAAAAAGCTCCCTGATATATTCAGCTTCTAACCTTAATTATTTGCATTTTACAAAAGTTGTAGGTAAGACTGATATTTGGAGGCTTCCTAAAGTTTCCAGCGTCCAGCCAATTTCTTCTATGCTGCTATATATACAGTCCACAGAAGTGATTCTGCTTCAGACATACAGCTTAAATCAGATTCTGATTCAGAAAGTTACTGAATATAATAACACCCCTAATCGGCAAATCCTTATAACAAGCAGTAGCTAATTTCTTTCAAATATTTCAGAAGTTGAAACTGGCATGGCTATTTTACCTTGTTTGTAAGAGGCCAAGAGCAAATTCTCATCTTCTACTTCAAACACCGTGTCCACGTCTATTTGTTTTTGAGCCAAAAGCTCCTCCAGAGTTCTGTAGTCATTTGATTGTAGAGCCTCCAAAAAAGCTTTTTTCATTAGCTTAGTTCTTGCAGTCCGTGTAATAGTTTCTCCCATGTTTTCCTCAGGGGGTTCTATCATGCTTGTTTTCAGTGCTCAGGCATGTGTGTTTATAAAATGCATGAACGGGTGTTCTAAGCTTTCCAAAGTGCACTACCCTACAAGCCCAAAGATAATTTTAACACTAAGCAATGCTGATCTGCCTGTTCTATTTATGTAAAGCAAACATCAGCCGCTCTTGTACAAGCTTAATTCTGTCAAATGAAACCAAAGCAGATCTGTGATGCCTATATGAAAAAATACACTCAAGGGATTAGGTGATCATCAAAACTTTCCCCAGCACAAACTTGTTAAGATTAGCTCAGAAAGCTCTTAAAGCTGATATAATTTCTCAGCAAAAGCAGCAACTAACCATATTAACTTCTGGAAACCTAATTTCCTGGCTTGGTTTTGATATGGACAGTTAATATCTCTCACCATTTCTCCACTAGGTAGAGGTTCATTTGTTACGTACATTATTTTCTTTGTTCCCAATCACCTCCATTGTCCATTAGCCCACTCATTAAGGGGGGTGAAAATCAGGCTGGCCCAAGATAATTGGCCCCCTAAGGAACAGAACCAGATGGTACTCCCTTCTTCTATCTTAGTCCAACAGTGGTAGCAAGATAACTGAGAGAACTGAAAAATCTTACTTTGGTCCAGAAAGACAATCAAGGCGCTGCCATTGGAGAGGGCCTTCTGATAAGAAAGACCAATTATTGGGAAGGGCCTCTCTTTGTCCATCCCATGCTTCACTTCATTCGTTGGGACCAGCCAGGAAGGCCCTTCAAACATGGTTGAAGCCTCTGAACAATTATACAAGAGAGCAGGTCTTCCTTGTTGACCAATCCTAGTCAATAATTGAGTAGCCATATTTTGGACAAACTGAAGTTTCTGAACTGATTTTCCTTTGATATCTCCTGTCTACTTATGACATACTGTAGTCTATTTACTCTGCATAATAATAAGGGTGTCCCTGAGTGTAAAAGTAACAGAAATAAATGCACAATTATAAATGTGAAGAAGTGCTACGTAAAATGGACATGATTTATATATAGAAATGTAAAGTGATGGAATATAGCAGGCATAATCCAACAAAATATTTCTGTAAGTGGAAACATTATGATCATAATAAAAGGTTCTCCTCCATATGTCTATTTTCAAATCCTTTAGAGCAGATTTTGAGAGTGTTCTGTGGAAGCAAACTGAAGGAAACTGATGCAAAAGTGGAAATCCACTCACTTAATACCTGAGTCCTCTTATAACAGTAAAACATAGTATTACATTGCTGTATACGATATAGCCACAACAACAATACAACATCAGATATATATATAGAAATATATAAATTCTGCTTTGAAATGTGAAATAATAATCAGTTGCTGATTACCCCAAAATGAATTGGAATACAAGGTATGCCATTTACTACAATGCAAACAGTGTCCTGTGCAATTCTGGTTAGAACATTATGCAGATAAGAGGGAGCACATTTAAGCACTTGTCATGCAAAAGAAAGGCCATTTCTCTCTTGTGGGTAAATACAAAAGATCACAGTAGCTGAGGTGCTTTGTAATAGCCTAGCTGCTAATGTATAAACACAATATGTTAATGGCAGATAAAGCATCTGAATTATCTTCCTTCTCTCCAAGTGTTTGGCTATGAAATTTTGGAGTGGCTACAGTACTTTAAGTTCTGTTTTAAAAGAATAGTTTTGTTCAGACTTATATTTGTGAAACATATAACTAATCGGATATTCCAAATGAAGCTGTTGCACAATTGAAGCTCGAATTACAAATAGCATGGATCATATGTTGTTGTTTTTCCCTTCTCACTTTTTTTTTTAAAGTCTGTCACCCAATTTACCCTCTCTAAAGTTTATTTTCCCCTCTGCCACTGACACTTCCAACATTACTGTTACCTTGGATGGTGTTGGAATAAGGGGAAAATAGTAGTGTAATGCTGGTACAGCTAAAGACAATTTAAGCGTGTCTCACCCATGGGCTGAGGACAAGACAAAGACAAAATCATGAGACATGGCAACACCCCCCAATGTTTCAAGGTTTGTTGCAAGTGGAGTAAAATCCAATGTCCCAGTAGAGCTTTGAGAGTCTTCGATTGTCATTTGCCAAATGTCCAGAGATGAAAGATCAAGCTTCATCTTTCTTGAGCCTCAGACCCTATTCTTCTTACAAAGTTCATAATCTGAGAACTGGCTTTACAGTCTATTTCCATAAGAAGCTTGGCTGGAGAAGACATGAGACAATTTTTTTTTCCTGTGGTGGCACGAGAGCTATGACATTTTCTCTAGAAAACTCTATCTCTATCTTCAAGTTCTGAGAGCAGCCAGTTAAAGAGAAACTTGGTATTTTATAGTGCTGGAGAAGGAATCATTACGTCCCATCCTAGCATTAAAGTTGTCTGCAGTTATCACTTCTGAGTTTCAGAGCGGGGTTGTCTTCAAGTCAGTTTTTGACTCATGGCAACTATCTGGACTAGTTCCTGCAAGTTTTTGTGGCAAGATTTTTGGAAGTGGTTTGCCATTGCCTCCTTCCTAGGCCTGATAAAGAGTGACTGGCCCAAGGTCACCCAGTTAATATCCAGTTCAAGAACATCTCAGTCATTGTTAGACTGGGAAATAAGCATGTGAGGATGGAAGTAGACATAAATAAGAATGAACTTAAACCAAGGATTTGAGATTTAATCTTCAAAATAATAAAGCTAAATTATTCATTTTCATTATGGTGCAACTGTTGCCTTTCCTTCCCCCTTGACTTATATGCACACATAAACACAAACACACACACACACACACACATATCTTCTATGCTCATCAAAGAACATTTTTTACTTTAGCTCAAATTGGCATATTACCTATTATGATGACCACAGGTAGATACACCATACTCCTCCCCCATGCAATAGCTGTATTTGTGTATGTTCAGACACAGAGGTTGAGACAGTAACTCATGTCTGTTATATCACCCGTGGCATCTGCATTTACAAACCTGATTGTTAGAAATCTTAGTTTTCTCTATGACTTTTTCCTATAAGACCAAATATAGGCAACTTCTAGAAAGATTGCCAAGTTTTTAACAATAGCTATGCCTTACAGAAGTCACTTGATACACCTTTTTATTACAAACTATCTCAAGCCTGGTTTACCACGCACTTTTTAAATACTGAATTTGTTGTCTTTTATTGATCTAGGATTCTAAGAAAAGAAACACATACTTCTAAATTCACAGAGCATTTACTTGGAAGCATGACTGTGAATTTATAAAGATCCCCCCCCCCCAAGGAAGAGGAGATAGAAAAACATAGTACAGTATCTATTATGATATTCTCAATGAACTGTACATAAAGACCCTTCAGTACTTTGAAAGTAACTTGGGACCTCTATGAACCCATGACATAAGTTGTATTTAAGAGCTGAGCTAATTTCTGGCTTAGCAGTGGTGTATCTGAAACACTAATACAACTAGTATTTTATTTGAAGTCCTATAGTTCTGTGAATCTTGTGGATACATTCGGTTCATTTCCCCATTTGTGGGAACTCTTGCTTCATCCTGTGGACCTCTTCCTGTCTTTTGGGCATCCTTCAGCCATCTAGCCTTCAGGGCTTTAAGGGGAAAAGAAGCTTGATGTCTTTGCTTCTCCACCTCATGAGAACTGCTGGAATTTCTACACATTTGTTTGTTTGTCTTTCATACAACCAAACATATTTACATAATCTGAAAAAAAGGAGTTGGGTATAGTTTGCGAATTCAAACAATTTATTTCCCTTTTGTGTCCAGTGGCTGTGGGGAAGATTTTTGTGGGCCAGTAATTTTTGCTTATTGTTTTCTGTGCTGCAAAGTCAGCAGGCTTGAAGACAATCACCGATCTTCTTCCAAATGCTTTTGATGGATTTGGGAATGGAAGTGATAGAGGACAGAAGTGCTAAATATGGCCCTCCCATTTTAAAGGTAATTTCTTCGGAGGAAAAAACACCCATTATCCTTCTTGTCATATAAATATAGTAAACAGAATCAGCTTTCGAAACCTGTATCAAGGAACTTGGGTGCAAGGGCATCTATGGTATGTGAGTGTGTGTGTGAAGAAGACAGCCATGAGTGCACTATCAAAAACATTTACATGTTGAGAGTGTAGCTTTTGGGGCTTTAAGGGGAAGGGAGTGTAGGCTTTCACTCTTTCTACAACAGTCTTTCCAGGTGCAGCATACTATTCAAATGCAGGGGCTAAATCTGTCCTCTTCCTCCCCTTTAGCTACCTGTGATATAAGCAATAAAGCCTATAAAATATTGTTGGGTTTATTGATTGCTGGGCTTCCTCCAGTCTATATATCCCCATTTGTTGGACACAACAGTGATCTTAGAAGTACTTGTCTTAGAAGAAAATGCATACTTCATATCCCAGCTTTGGGGGGGGGGGAACTTTTGAAAGATTTCTACTTGAAAGACAGTAATTTAAATTTTAAAAAGTATTTCCTAGCTAGAATTTCATCATCTAGAGGAATTTCTCTGCATTGGCAAATTGACAGAAACAAATTGTACATACTAGCAAAGGCATTTCAACAAATACAGTATTTATACTAGAATTACTGTCATAAGTGTTTTTCCTGTCTTGTATGGATATGAAGGCTCCTTCATATTAAAAAAAAAAGTTCTATTGGCAATAGGGTGAAAGTGGGGTTAGCATTAGGCTTTCTTGAGGTCTGTAGTTCAGTTTAGCGTGAGAGAGAGCTTTACAGCAAATTTTAAGGTAATCTTACCTTATGGTGGGAAGTATTTGCTACATTTCTTTTGCTGTTAGGCTGAGATTAGGGTTAGGCTTCCTTGAAATATGAGGTTATATTTAGTGGGAGGTCAGCTTTTAGATAAATTATCTTTATTGATAATCTTAACTTTAATGTTATGATAGGGATTGCTTGTTAGGAAAACTTCAGCATAAAAAACTTTATTGGCAAACCACTGAAGTTAGGGAGAGGGTTAAGCTTATTTGAGGACTATGGTTAAATTGAACAGGAACATTAAGTTTGGGGTGAGTTTTTAAGATTAGTAGTAGTCTT